TGAGTCCCAGGACTTTGTGGAAGGAGACAGGCACCCAGAACTGTTACATGAGTAAGAACCATATTTGGAGCATATTGTTTCCATTCTATGTATAACAGTAACCAAATTCGGACATCTACCTTGGCAGTAAGATGTTCCTCCCATTATGTAGCATTCCCCCTCCACAGCTTTTAACAGTTGCATTCCCTATTTTGGCACTGTTGCCAAAGTTATATTTTTCCCAAAACTATTTTGTAAATAGAGGCATTACACTCTATAAGTAATTTTCACTTTGGGATATTCTTATTCCTTTCCTGTTTCAATTCCTTTTTTGTTGTCTAGCTTGTATCCTGAACTAGAAATTTCAGGACAGGAAGGACATGAGAGAGCTAGATTTCCCACATACTGGAGGCTGTATCTCTGTTGTTTTCATTCATAAGTGACGTACTGGAGACTGTATCTCTGTTGTTTTCATTCATAAGTGATGTGCTGTGTGAATAATGTATTTTGGGGAATGACTTTTCTCTATTCCATCTCCATCTCTCAGTAGACTCTGTCGGCACTGTAGTCCAGATGCCAGGAGTGACATAGAGAAGGTCAAAAAGAGTTCCAGGATGTGAATATTCTGGAAGCAGCTGGTGGTCAGCTGGTAGATTGATGGTTATTTACTGCTACTTATTCATCCTCAGGTAGGTTAACTTGAGACATCTCCCAGAGTTCCTCGCACGAGGGACTGAGCTCCGATTGCCTGTACTGTAAATGGCCTGTACTGGATCCCTTCACTCCGCTGCTTCACTTCTCCATTCCCCTTCCTGTGTTACCTGGACCTTTCTCCTAACTTGTTGTCATTGTTAGTTAGCTGCTGTCCAGTTGGCCCTGAACCCATGCTAACCCCACGCACAACAGAATGAGACTCTGCCCAGCCCTATCCCATACCTGGGGTCAGACATTTGTGATCTGTAATCTTTTCAATGGCAGCTTGGGGGAGCAGATAGCCAGTCCTTTCTTCTTGTGCATCTTAGTCTGAAAGCTCTGCTGAAATCTGTCCAGCATAACAGCACCACCAAGTCTCCACTGGCAAGTGGATAGTGGCTGAATCTGAGATGCATGGACCAGAAATGGAACTCATATCTCCTGTATGAAAGATGGGAATTCTCTTGCAGAAGCCCCACGCTTGCTCCAGCAATAAACCACCATTCTCAAGTCCTTAACGCTTGCTCTACTTCTGGGGGAAATCTATGCAAGACAGCCAAAGTGTAGGGAAAACAGCATTGCATGGTGCGGTGTCCAGGGGCTAATAATGAGAGAGGTCACTTCCACTTCTAGACCTAGAGAGGGAATGGCAGGAGGGACTATGGAAGCTGGAGAAGAAATGGAATGGAGAAGACCATGTGCTGTGTGTCAGTGGAGAGCTACAGTTGACCTCGTGGTTATGCAAAGAAGGAACTGAGGGTTACTTCTGGATGGGTGAGCAGAAGATCAATAGCTGAGTACAGCCCAAGTATTCTCTCCGTGTATGATCCACTGGCATATGGATTGGCTTAGTGGCAGTGACAGTGGGGAGAATGTAGTCATGACGATGAGGTCTGCACAGTGTTTTGCATAGTGTCACTATGAACTGAAACAGATTTAGCCATCCTTAACAGCTTTAGTTTGCTCGGCTCCACAGTCAACACTCTTGGCACCAGCAGCCAGGAAATTAAAAGACATATTGCGATGGGAAAGTCTTCTGTTAGGGACCTCTCCAAAGTACTGGAGAGCAGTGGTGTCACTCTAGAGACTAAGGTGTGCCTGATACAGGCCATGGTCTTTGCAATCACTTGCTATGCATCAGAGAGCTGGACAATGACTAGGGATGATAGAAGGAGAATTGATGCCTTTGAGCTGTGGTGCTGGAGAAGAGTATTAAATATACCACGGACAGCTAAGAGAACAAACAGATTCATCCTGGAGAGGGATAAACCAGGCTGCTCCTTGGAGGCAAAGATTCTGAAGCTTCAGCTAACATACTTTGGACATGTTGCAAGGAGGAACAAGTCCTTGGAGAAGGACATCATGCTTAGGAGAGTGGAGGGACAGAGCAGGAGAAGAAAGCCCTGGATGAGATGGCTTGATTCAGTCACTGGGGAAATGGAGGTAGGCGTGTCGGAGACAGATTGGCACAGGGTAGAGCAGGGTTTAGGGCTGCTGTACATAAGATCACTGTGAGTCACAGGCGACTTGACGGCACATAACAACAACAGCAAGCTCTGAAGGGGGGTTCTGGTGGAACAGCGCTTGGTGAACTGTGCTGTTACATTGTACTGTGGTTTGAGTGACAGTCTGCAGAGAAAATGGGATTATGATATTAATTGCAATTCCTTCAGTGTAAGAACCCTCTCCCCACTTATTCTGGGGTTCCTCGTTTCTGTTCCATCTTTCCTGCCCCTTCCCGTTTTCTGAATTTTGGGTTTGGGAAAATGCCGTCCTTTTGATTTCAAATGCTTAATCATTCTGAGGAGCATTTTTTCTTATAGTTACTGTTGTTCACATGACAAGCCTAACTATTTTTGCATTAACAGTAATATCTGGGAATGGGTTCATTTCCATAACTGAAGGGTCTTAGCGGTTCCACCATTCTCGGTCAGGCTTACTGGTCTTTTTAATGACTTTAAATTTTGTTCTACATTTTCCTCTCATTTTGTCCTGAACTTTCTACTGTGATTCCAAGCGGTGTAGCTGGTGGGGGCTGCTAGGTACCACCAGTTTATCTGGGTCTCAGATGAGTGGAGGCTCCAGTTCATGTGGTCTGTTCATCCCTTAGACTAATTGTCTGCCTCGCCTTCACACTTCCTGGCTCTGGAAGGGGGGAAAAATCAATTGCTGTATCTTCGATGGTCTCTTACAAGCTTTTAAGATCCTGGTTCTAACACACCAATTAGAATGTAGAAATTATCATTAAGGGCTATGTTATGCCAGTTGACCCAGGTGTCCCCAAGACTGTGATTCTAAGTTCTCAAGTTCAGTGACTCAGTCCTTCAGATGTTTGGTTATGATTAAGAAGTGTGTAAACTTTGCCCCTGTCTGCACCAAGGTACATACACCTGGATACATTTGTAGCCAGTATAAATACATTTGTAGAATTGTCTTCTCTCAAACCCATATATATTCATGGGTGTGCTCCTTTATGCCATCTCACACTTGCTTGGCTTAAATATCTACTTATGTATCCACTCGGTGCTTTGGTGGCCTGTGGGTAACGAGTTGTGCTGTCAACCCAAAGGTGGGTGGTTTGAAACCACAAGTGCTCCTTGGAACAAACATAGGCACCTCTCCTCCAGTGCAACTTACAATCTCCAAAACCCTTCTGAAGGATTAGCTATGAGTTATTTCCAACTCAATAGCATGTAACAACAACAATAACAAATCCAGTCATGATGCAAACATTCTTTTTCACTCATGCAGGTTTTCAAAAGTATGTTGAGAGATTTCCTATGCTTGCCACCCGCCATTCCTTGGTTCCAGCCCTCTTGCTGAAACTCTGTTAGGTCTCTTATTCAAGATAACCTCTCCACCTGAACTGTCTTCTCTCCACCCCCTTCCACCTTAGCCCTCTTCACCTGGTAACTCCTTCACCTCCTCAGAGAAGCTCTTTCCGCCTGGCAGGCAGAATCTAGTCCCCCATTATTGGTGTTCCAAAGTGCCATTCGATAGATTCCGACTCAAGGTGACCCCAGAGGACATAGTGGAACTGCTCTGGTCTCATCGGCTGTGATCTTTAAGGGATCTGTTGCTGTTGTTACATCAGTGCAGCTCCTTAGCACGAAGCCACTAGTGTTCCCCAAGGGATCAAATCCATCCACTCTTTTTTATTAGCAGCCTAGCACGTGACCATTAGGTCACCAAGGCTCTGTTTATTAGCAGCCTAGCACGTGACCATTGGGTCACCAAGGCTCTGAGGTCTCCCAGTGGTAGGGAGTTGTGCTACCAACCTGAAGACACATAGTTCAAATCCACCAGCTGCTCCGCAGGACAGATAGGCAATGTCCTCTCGTGCAATTTACAGCCTAAGAAAACCCTCCAGAGGGTCTGTTATGGATCGGTTCCAAATCAAGGACACAAAAATCAGGTTTACACTGGAGTCCTGGTGGCCTAGTCAGTAAGGAGTTGGACTGCCAGCCCAAAGGCATGGAGTTTGAACCCACTAGCTGCTCTGGTGGAGAAAGATCTTATGCGATTTACAGTCTCTGAAACCCTGCTCAGCTCTAAGAAGCAGAAATTTTGCACAAACGCGGTGTATTTGACAAACGGCTGGCTGGCTCAAAGACGGTCCATAGAGTTTGCCAAGCTCCCTGACTTCCTAGCTTTCAGCTCCGAGCTGGCGCCCAGGTTGCACCCTGGGCACGTGGACCGGGCTCGAGGTGCCGGGGCTGGACGAGTAAACAGGTGGAGTCCACCCTGAAGTTGCGAGGCTAGAGTTTCTGGGCGGACACTGGTCCCCTAGGACTCAGAGTCTGTCACCATCTCTAGGCATGAATTTCAGGAAATGACCGCCTGGGCTGGTGGGGCGGGGCTACAGAGAGGCGTGGCCTTCTCGGGGGCGTGGTCTGAGGGGCTGGCGGAGCTTCGAGAGGCGTGGTCTTTTCCTGGGGGCGTGGTCTGTGATGGGGATGTGACTCTGGGCGGGGATTTTTAAAGGGGTGTGGCTGCGGGGGGGGCGTGGCCCCAGGCGGGAGCGTGGCGTAGCTCAAGGCGGTGAGGGGCGTGGCTAAGGAGGGGCGTGGTCCCGGGCGGGAGAATGACACGTCCAGGCAAGGGCGGGAATTCCGGGGGGCGTGACTCGAGTGGGGCGGGGATTTGTGGGCGTGGTTATGGCGGGGGCGGGGATTCCGGGGCGGACCCGGGAGCGGCGGGCGGGACTGAGGCGGCCCGGCCCCGTTAAGAGCAGCGTGGAGGGCCGTGGCCACTAGCAGCCCTCCGGGAAGCGGACTTGCCCACCGACCTCTGCAGAGAGACCAGCACCGGGACGCACGCTTGGAACCATGAGCCAGACACTCGCCTTCAACAAGCCCAAAGTGAGCGCTCGCGGGTTCGGGGGGGGGGGGGCCCGGGGGGGGGGGGGGGGGGGGCCTGGAGACCCGGGGTCCTAGCGACTGATTGGGAGGAGGTCCTGGGAGCGCTCGCCCCATCACACCCCGTGAGCTCATAGGGGCTTCTGCAGGCTCCGATCCTCGCCCTCCTGCAGGCTGGGTAACGAGGGACAGCGAGGCAGGAGGGATCCAGAGGCAGCGCCCCAAGCCGATCTCTCTTTCTGGTTCTGCCCCTGACTTGGCTCCTCTGGGTCTCAGTTCCACCACCTGTCAAATGGACATCCTAGTGTCACTTGCTGGGAACAGCTATGTGAGTCCGGCCTAGGGACTTGCTTGACATCTCTGAACTGTAGCTACAAAATGATGCTCTGATGTCTGTGTTCATTGTGCATAGTGGAAGCAACTTTATGTTCCAACGTTATAACTAGCAATGCAACATGCTGCAGACTAAGCCTGCATGGCTCCCTGTAACCCAACATTATGATCATCTATGGGCACTATTGAGATAGTTAACAATTTTAGTTTACTTGGATCCACAGCAGCCAGGAAATCAGGAGACAAATTGCATTGGGAAAGTCAGCTATGAGGGACCGCTCAAGAGTACTGAAGAGCAATGACTTCAGGCTGGAGACTAAGGTGCGCCTGATCCGGTCTATAGTCTTTGCAATTATGTGCTATGCATCAGAGAGTTGGACAGTGAATAGGGATGATAGAAAGAGAATTGATGCCTTTGAGTTGTGGTGCTGGAGAAGCGTGTTGAATATACCATGGACTGCTAGGAGAACAAACAGGTTTGTCCTGGAGAAGGTGAAGCGGGAATGCTCCCTAGAGTCAAGGATTCTGAAGCTTCGTCTGACATACTTTGGGCATGTTGCAAGGAGGGACTGGTCCTTGGAGAGGGACATCATGTTTGGGAGAGTGGAGAGGAAGACGCTCGATGAGATGGATCAATTCAGTGACTGTAGTGGTGGGAATGAGTGTGTTTGAGACAGCGAGGTTGGCACAGGATAGAACGGCGTTTAGGGCTCTTGTACATAGGGTCGCTATGAGTCGCAAGCTACTCTATAGCACATAACAACAGCAACATGAGCACTAGGGTCCTGCATTATGGATACCCAGAGTTGGGGTGACTGTAGGGGGAACAGTGAGACAGGAGCAAGGCACCCCTATTTCTGCAATGGCTCTGAGCCCTGGCAAATTTCTCTCTAGATTACGCTAAGGCCACTGGCCCCATGGGGATCGCCTGGTCCCTCCTCCACCAGCTGTAGTGTCTTAAGAAACAAGGGTCAGGGAGGGTCCAGGTCTGCTTGGCCTCTTTAGAGCAGCCTGGGGATTCTCAGTCCAAGGAGCGAGAGGGGCCCAGGAGTCTCCCAGCAGAGTGAATCAACCAGAGCCTCTGAAACTGGGGGGAGGAAGAGCATTAACTACAGTCTGCCTCAACCTACCTCGCTCGAAACAAATGTGTGAGTCACGATGACCAGCATTGTGGAGGTGTTGGCTAGAGGAGAGGGGTGTGTGTGTGTGCGTGCGCGCGCGTGTGTAAATACCTGGCCTCCCTGCTGAAGCCCCATTACAGGCCAGATGTTTAGCTTCTCATTGACAGATGTGCTGTGGCTCTGGAGTAAGGACTGTCCTGCTCCTGGTGATTCTCACTGACCCCTGTTTCCTTCGTGTTTCTGGACTCCTCCTACCCTGGGGCTGCAGAATCACTGCCTCCATTGTGAAGCCTGAAACTTCAGGATGGGAGGGAGGCAGTTGAAACAGCATTGTGGAGATGAAAATTATAGGTTAACACCTTATTAAAAGAAGAAAACAAACCCAACAAAACAAATCAGGCAAGTTGCTGAAAAGGCAACCCTCCTGGCAACCCCACTCGCTGCAGAGTAGAACTGCTCCATCCGGCTTTCCTGGCTGTAATCCTTAGGGAAACAGATTGCCAGGCCTTTCTTCCAAGGTTCCTCTAGGTGGTGGTTGTATGAATGCTTGACTCTTCACACCGCTCAGGGACTCCAGCATCTCACTGGCCTTGCTATCTGGGTCAATCTGATCCTTGGAACAGTGTTTAGCGATGGGTGGTCGTTATCATTATATTCCTCCTTTTTGCCTCATCCAGTGTCTCCTTTGATTCACGTCTCCTCCAGGTCATTCCCTGTGCCTCAGTTTCCACACCTGTGGAATGGTGGCGCTGCCTGCTTGGTCAGGCGATGCTTGCGAGTGGAAGGGGAGTGACACCGGCCTCGTATGTGTGGTGGGTTTGCTCTTCCCTTGAGGAGGTAAAGTGCCCGAGCTGGCAAGGGAATCAGGAAGAAGCATGAGTCTCAGAGCTGCTCTGATGGGAGAGAACTTCCTACCTTCCCGTGGGTGGGGTAACAATTACAGTCATTAGCACTAATCGCTGCAGCTTACAGAATGCCACCTGTGTCCGGCACTGCTCTAAACATATCTCCTGCGCTCATTTGTTCCTCACGACAGTATTTGTGAGAGAGGTGGTGTTATTCCCATTTTACAGATGAAGAAACTGAGGCCCAGCCTGAGGTCACCAAGCTGAGATTAGTATCTTCTTGTTGTTATGTGCCATCAAATCACCTGCAACTCATAATGACCCTAAATACAACAGCTCTGAAGCCTGCCCTGTCCTGAGCCAGTCTCACTGACTCTAGCACACCTACCCTCAATTCCAAAGTTTCTGTATCAATCCATCTCATCTGGGGTCTTCCTCTCCTGCGCTGTCCCTCCACCCTTCTGATCATGATGTCCTTCTCCAAGGATCGGTCTTTCCTGGCTGTGTGCCCAAAGTATGTGAGACAGGATTAGTATCTAAGCGACTCTGATAGCATCCTGTGCCCCAAACCAGCTTGCTTTCCTGAGCTGCCTCTGCAGAAATGCCCCTCAGGGACAGAGGCCTTTGCTGAGCTCATTGGCCTCACGTACCGACCGCCTGGTGAGGCCCAGGACCCGACCCGCTTTACATGGCAGAGCACGCCGTGCTTGTCACACTTCAGTGTGCACCCCAAGCGTGTGAGGTCAGTTAACATTGACTGACTTGGAAGGACTGAGTAGAATGGGAGATACAGTGTTAATAGCTCCCAGGTGATGACAAGGCTGCTGGACCACGCATGCCCGTTAAAGTAGTGAGGTCCAGGGTGCCTACCTGGCTTCACTGTGTCCTTCCAACAAATGCTTCTTAAGTCCCTGCTGGGCACGGGGTGGGGGGTGGGGGGGAAGGTGAAGAGGAAGGAAGGGAAATGGGCATCTTTACTGATCGACGTTCCAAAGGACAGTGCTGACTGGAAGCCATCATGGCAATGGCTGCTGCCATCTGTGTGTTCTTGTCCCAACTGCCTTGGCTGGTTCATCTCTCCACCCTGTTACCTATTACTTCTCCCCACAACCCTATTCCAGCCTCCAGTGAATTGCCTTCACTCTGACTCACAGACGGGAAAACTGAGACCTGCAGAGGTCTCTCAAAGTCGGAGCACCTGCAAGCTGTCGCGTGGCAGGCGGATTAAGCCAGGCGGATCACCAGGGCTTCCGAACTGTCTCCCCCCCCCCCCCATGTCTACGGGTTTACTCAGGAGCAGGCATGGTGTGAGCTGCTTTGCATGTGGTAACTCATTTAATGTTGACAACAGCCTCTGAGGTTGGTTATGTAATTATCTCCATTTACATGAGGAACAGGCTCAGAGAGGGGAAGGAACTTGCTCAAAGTCAAATAGCCAGGAAGTGGCAGCGCTCAACTTGAATCCTGATTGAGTTCAGATCGGAGCAGATGCTGTTTATGGCTTTGCTAAATGGCCATTCCCACCTGGTATCAAAAAAGAGGGGTGAGAGGGAGGAGTTAGAATCAGGTTGGGTGTAGGGGTGACCATGTGCTGGAGATAAAGGGGGATAGGATCCCTGCCAATATCTAGTGAGTCATCAGGTGGTTGGCTTTCCCTCCCTGAACCTCAGCTTTCCTCTTCTGTAAAATGGGACGATAAAACTGGCACACACTGACGTGCAGAAAGATGCACCTGGCTGTCCCACTGCTCAGCCCAGATGTACTTTTCCTTGCTGGGACCCAGGTGGATTCTGGGAAGCTTCCCCTCCTGTGCTGCCATGCTGCTGCAAAGTCCACTGTTAGCACATCTTTGGGTTTTCAGTGTTTTGCAGTTACCAGAGCCACCTGTTAACAAAAGCAGCCCTGGGAAGAACCCCAATTTAACCTATAGTGACTCATGTGACAGTTGGCGAAGCCTGTGCTCACCAGTGGGGGAAGGGGAATGAGTGAGATTCTATTTCAGCGAAATCTTTCCTTTGACAGAGGAAATGGCCCCAAGAGGGGAAGTGTGATTGGTGGTGTCTGGTCAGGTCACACAGAGAGGCAGGGGGAGGGCAGGCTGCACCACATCCAATCTCGGGTGGGCTCAGCATGGGGGGGAGGGGACTGGTAAGCTGAGAGAGGTCTACCTGCCTCATTACCTCTGGAGTGGGGTAGGTAAGACCAGACTTCGTGCACCACCACCGCCACTCTCACTCCCACCCCACCCCCGTCAAAGTGAAGCTTAAATATGCATTTACTTAGGTTGTTGGGAGGCAGCCTTGCCTTCACCCCTTAGGTCTGAGACCTCCAAGCAGCAAGGTGGGAAAAGGAAAAGGTGAACTCCATTAAGGAGCACCAGTGGCTTTGTAGGTTAAGTGTGGGGTTGTTAACCAAAAGATTGGTGGTTCAAACCTGCCAGCAGTTCTGTGGGATAATGATGAAATAGTCAACTGGGAGACTCAATGACAAAATTCTCATGACTGCTAACCATTCTGCTCCAAGTTCACCAGGACACCAGGACTGTGATGTACTGGAAGACTCGGCTTCAGAGCCCAGCAGCTTCCTGGCTGTGGCACTCACATTATACGTTGTTGTTTTATGGTTGTTAGGTGTCATCGAGTCGAGTATGACTCATAATGACCCCATGAACAAAAGATCTGAACCCAGTCCTGTCCTGCGCCATCCTCACACTTCCTGACACACAAGAGCCCTTGCATTATACACTCATTATTCTGTGACCTGGGGCATATTTCTTTATCTTACTGAACCTCTCCATTTTCTCATCTCTAAGACTGAAGTGACCACTGTGTCAGGTTCCTGGGTTGATTCTGCCCTAAAGGATTTCCCTCAGATGACTTCACCAGCTAAAACATCATTTGTCTTCCCTTGAAATTTCTGGAAAGCTCAGTCAAGGCCCTGAATCAGAAAGAGGCACTGGGGAAAATCCCAGTTCCTGCAGCCTGCCCCTTGGAGCTGCAGACTAGACGAGGTGGAGCATAGAGGGCTTCCTGGAGGAGGTGTGTGGCTGGAACACGTTGTCTGTTCCAGATCAAGGTATTGCTCCGTTTCCCAGCAATGTGGCCCAAGTACATTGCCCAGAGCCGGGACCAGGAAAGGCAGGTTTATGTTGCTGGCAGTGATCACAGAGCCCAGGGTCTGGGGTCTGCCAGGTCCCAGAGCCTTCCTCACAGCAAGGAGAGGACCTAGCATAACTGTCATAGAACAGAGAAGGCAGAAGCTGTCGCGTTGTCATTCAGCACGTCCCGGGCCCTTTTACCTGTGCTTAGCACTTGGAGGAGTAGCAGGGACAGCACAAAGTCCCTGCTCTCAGCAGCACGGAGTGTCTGGTCAGGGAATGAACAGGAAGTCAGTGGGACGGTTTTTTTGTTTTCTGTGGGTTTTTTTTTTTATTTTATTTTATTATTTTTGCGTGAGTGTACCGTCAAATCAGATCTGACTGGTACAGGAGGAGACTGTCCCTCCTTCCCCGGCAGAGCATCTGGTGGATTCGAACCGTGCACCTCTGGGATTGTAGTTGCAGATCCTTGCCACTAGGCCACCAGAGCTCCCCTAGTGGGATGGTTTGAATCCACCAGATGCTCTGCTTGAGAAGGAGGGACAATCTCCTCCTGTACCATTCAGATCCGAGTTGACAGTATACACACACACACACACACACACACACACACACACACACACAAATAATTTAGAAAATTAATAAAAAAGAAATTAAAAGAAAGTCAGTGGGAGGAAAGGAAAACGATGAATAGGGCCTGGGATCCCTGGGAAGAAGCAGCCTGGTGTGGGGTGTGCCTGGAGGTGAGCAGCTTTGCTTGCCCTCTGGCTGTGAGCACAGGTAAGATCTAGGGATTTCTGGTCTAGGTGTCTAAGACCTGGAGCCTCCGCCTGATTCTGCCATTGACTTTGGGCAAGTCAGCACACCTCCCCAGGAAGCCACCAGCCTCCCTGGGAAGCACCTGCCTGACTGGCAGCTCTTGAGACTAAAAACGATGCATCATGTGCCTCCACCAAGCCTGCCACGTGGTAGGGGTGACTTAGTAAATATCTGATGGTAACTGAGGGCCCTTCCTGTTCAGATCTGGGAGGATTTCCTGGCAGATGCTCTCCCGTGAGTCAGCCTCCATAGAGGGCAAGTTGAGGAGAAGAGGCCTGGAGGCTGGGCACAGGTCTGATTTAGGGTCAGGGAGGGCCTGTGGACAGATGGGTTTCAATTCCGTTCTGTCCCCATCAGTCTTTGTAACTTTGGACATGTCCCTGAACTTCTCTGAGCTGGGCTTGATAATATCTGCAATCTTGCCTAGAAGTTAAGATTAAATTAGAATCCGATAATAGAGCTCTATTCAGTGGGGGGTGGTGTGCCATCAAGTCAGGACTGACCTATAGTGACCCTACAGTGGGTTTTCAGAGGCAGTAAATCACATGCGGGGAGATTGCCTGTCATTATGCCGAGTAGCTA